CACAAGACTAATAATCCACTGGATAAAATAAATGTTGGCTGATTGAAAACAAAGCTAATGAGAAACAATCTCATGGTAGGAAGATTAATCAGAACCATCGTGGCCTCTCAAATAGGGAAGCATTTAAACCCATGTTTAACGGACATATTCTGATANATAGTAATTTTGCTTTACATGTTTGCATGACAAATGAACCAAAATATCTTTTAGTATGGGTAGATTGCCTGGCAGCTAATATCTAGTATAGAGATTTCCTGACCAGACATAAGACACATTTAGTATGAGTGGATTGCCTGGCAGCTAGGGTAGAGATTTCCTGACCAAACAAAGCAATTAAGAAACGTGACGAAAAACCATGATCAACATACAATCAAGAACACTAATTCATGGTCGCTTGCAGGAGGATCTGCCAACTTAGTCGGTAGTTCTAGCACCGTTTTGTAACTACTTGAAATAGATAGGATACAGAAAATGGACACTGCCTAATTTTTTGTAAGTTTTCTTAGATATTTCTCTTGTGCTTTGTATACCTATCCCGTAGATGAGGCTTCCTTTACTTTCCATTTAACGAATTTAGTTTTACCTTCATTTGACAGAACAGAAAAAGCAATCATCTTACCNTGCAACAGCTCCATTTGAACCAATAGTTTCTTCTCCATACTGCGTCTGACCGATGCCACATTAGGTGATCCGAGTCTTTAAGACATCACACAAACATTGCCAGAAGATTGCTTTGCAGGTAGAATTCAGCTAATCTTCCCTATAATGGGGTTGCACTCTATAGCTATGAAATGGATGTTCTTCCCTGAGATGCCAATCACAAATACAAAATGGGTGAACAAATGATCCCCAAATATATTATGGCTTGCACGATTAAGCTATCACCTATCCGACCATTATACAGGTTCTTATGCAACTAACAAGTATTACAACAATAAACAATGGCCACATATTAATAATCCAAATCCACACAACATGACCATTAATTCTTTCTTCCATTCATCATAGTTATCAAAAGCATGAAATGGAAATTACGTACAGGAGAATTTAAAACCATAGAATAGTAATTTTGCTTTACATGTTTGCATGACAAATGAACCAAAATATCTTTTAGTATAGGTAGATTGCCTGGCAGCTAATATCTAGTATAGAGATTTCCTGACCAGACAAAGCAATTAAGACACATTTAGTATGAGTGGATTGCCTGGCAGCTAGGGTAGAGATTTCCTGACCAAACAAAGCAATTAAGAAGCGTGACGAAAAACCATGATCAACATACAATCAAGAGCACTAATTCATGGTCGCTTGCAGGAGGATCTGCCAACTTAGTCGGTAGTTCTAGCACCGTTTTGTAACTACTTGAAATAGATAGGATACAGAAAATGGACACTGCCTAATTTTTTGTAAGTTTTCTTAGATATTTCTCTTGTGCTTTGTATACCTATCCCGTAGATAAGGCTTCCTTTACTTTCCATTTAACGAATTTAGTTTTACCTTCATTTGACAGAACAGAAAAAGCAATCATCTTACACCAAGATGATTCATACATAGTTGCTCTTCTTGACTGTATATCACTTTCTTTAATTCATTAATCAAAACAATACACTAATCAAGTCCCACATCAATTTCAACCTTTTAAACTGAGTTCTTCCAAAAAATTGTGAGTTACGTAAAGGGCCAAAATTGCTAGTTTCCTCTATCCAAAACTGTAATGTTGTGGGCATATATACATAATGATGTATGTACTTAACATTCTACCAGTCCATACGAAACACTAAAATTCTAGTTTCTTGTACAATCTCTGTTTTGAAGAAAAATTGGCATGTACAAACCCACAAGACTAATAATCCACTGGATAAAATAAATGTTGGCTGATTGAAAACAAAGCTAATGAGAAACAATCTCATGGTAGGAATATTAATCAGAACCATCGTGGCCTCTCAAATAGGGAAGCATTTAAACCCATGTTTAACGGACATATTCTGATAAAAAAAAAACTTTTAAGGCAGTCAATGTAGCGCAAATTGTCTTCACTGTTACAGTGTTGCTTGATTGCGTGCCTGGGCTGGGGTTGAGGGGGCATGTGCGGGGGCGTGTGACAGAGAGAGAGGGTAGCGCGGGGGCAGGGTTGAGCCTGACTTTGTGGAATTATGAATCCGGATAATGAAAGCTCAGTTCAACAAAAAGCCATCTGAAATATGCTCGATTCAGTAGACATGTTCCGATTTAATTTCTGTTTTCTACATTTCCTAAGTCATTATACAAATCCTTTCATTCTTGTTCTAAAACAATTTCTTCCTGAAAACAATAAAAGACCGAGCAAATTAAAAAATGAAAGAAAGAAAGAAATAATTGAATGAAATAAAGAAGATCTTACTGGAAAGGGAATGTTCATCTCTTTGCAATTGTTGATCTGCAGCAACATCGAAAAAACAAGAATGATATGAGAAACATTAACATTGTATTTAGAAACACAATTGATTTTCACAACAAGTACAAAACCTTGAGAACCAAATGTACACAAAATAAATAAAGATGGGATGCATGGTTGCAATACGGAACAGAACTAGAGAAGAGAGAGAGAGAGAGATGACCTTTGGGCTATGGTGGGCTGAGATGAAGAGGGAAATCAGTGTAGCCTTCGTCTCAGAAGTTTATTGGGGATTGAGAAAAAGGAGGTAAGTGGTTTAGGGATCCGTGGGCAGAGAAGAACCGTTGGGACGAGGCGACCACGTATGAATTAATGCATTAAATTACACTTTGCACACCTAATTGTAACCAAACAACCCCTAATTACACTTTACTACTTGTTAGATTGCTCAACCTCTAATACCAATAGCATAACCACAAATATCCTTTTCCCTGTATCACAACCCTACTCAAACCTCCTTGCTTTTTACATTCCCTTCTCTTAATGACTAATCGTCTCTTCCCTTTATAGTCTTTATCCACCCCATGCGTCATTCTCATAACCCTTCTCACCGCCCACAAGCCTGATGCCTATAACCATCATGTTCCACCTCAAAATGCACCATTGAGTTAATCAACTAAAGCCAAAGTTAGTGGTTTTGAGTCAACCACCTAAAAACCCCTCCATCAAACCTTTACAACTACCTGAACCATCCATTTCCACCAACACACAAACAAAAACCAAAGCAATTTATTTTATACCTCTCTTAACTCACTTATGTATACACATAGCCAAACATTAACACCCACAAAAACCAGCCACCAACACTCAAAAACATTATAACATATTTCACGTTAGACAATCACCAAAAACGTGAGTCTCAGTTGATTTGGTGCCTATTTGGCCCCCACGGAACCACCAAGTCCTTGAATCATGTAAACGAAGTCTTTCTACGCCTTTTACGGAAAACTTATGAGAAGGGGATGTTTTGTTGAGGATGTTACTATAATAAAACAAACTAGGGGGAAGTATTCCGTATTATTTGTCTAAAGATAAGCAGGGATGCAAATATAATACAACAAGTAATATTACGTGTATTTAAAAATTAGATTTGATAATTTTAATCATCGAATAGATAATGAATTTCAATAAATATTGAGCTGTACAATAAAATCAATGATTGGAATAATACGTCTATTTTTTAAGCCTGCTTTAAGCCAAATGTTTACCCTCCCATTTATCACGTTCTCCGCCCCTCTACTCGCCTGCCTCCCCCTATCCTCATCTTCACTCCCACTCACTTCCTTAAACCCTAACTCATTCCGAAGGGTAATCAATCAGTAAGCAACCAGAGCACTCACATCTCTCTCACAGAAGAAGTAGAGAGAGAAAGGAGAGAGGAGTGAGAGAGACAAAGAACCCAAAACACACACGATGAACCCATCAATGCTCATCGCACAACCTTCTACTCCACACCCCAAAATCCTCTTCTCTTCCTTCGTCAACCACACCCCACTCCGTTTCAGTACCACCCACCGAACCTCCCTGGCCAAAAAACGCCATAACCATCGATACCGANCAAAAACATTATAACATATTTCACGTTAGACAATCACCAAAAACGTGAGTCTCAGTTGATTTGGTGCCTATTTGGCCCCCACGGAACCACCAAGTCCTTGAATCATGTAAACAAAGTCTTTCTACGCCTTTTACGGAAAACTTATGAGAAGGGGATGTTTTGTTGAGGATGTTACTATAATAAAACAAACTAGGGGGAAGTATTCCGTATTATTTGTCTAAAGATAAGCAGGGATGCAAATATAATACAACAAGTAATATTACGTGTATTTAAAAATTAGATTTGATAATTTTAATCATCGAATAGATAATGAATTTCAATAAATATTGAGCTGTACAATAAAATCAATGATTGGAATAATACGTCTATTTTTTAAGCCTGCTTTAAGCCAAATGTTTACCCTCCCATTTATCACGTTCTCCGCCCCTCTACTCGCCTGCCTCCCCCTATCCTCANTTGATTTGGTGCCTATTTGGCCCCCACGGAACCACCAAGTCCTTGAATCATGTAAACGAAGTCTTTCTACGCCTTTTACGGAAAACTTATGAGAAGGGGATGTTTTGTTGAGGATGTTACTATAATAAAACAAACTAGGGGGGAAGTATTCCGTATTATTTGTCTGAAGATAAGCAGGGATGCAAATATAATACAACGAGTAATATTACGTGTATTTAAAAATTAGATTTGATAATTTCAATCATCGAATAAGTAATGTGTTTCAATAAATATTGAGATTTACACTGAAATCAATTATCGAAATAATACGTCTATTTCTTTTTAAGCCAAATGTTTACCCTCCCATTTATCACGTTCTCCGCCCCTCTACTCGCCTGCCTTCCCCTATCCTCATCTTCACTCCCACTCACTTCCTTAAACCCTAACTCATTCCGAAGGGTAATCAATCAGTAAGCAACCAGAGCACTCACATCTCTCTCACAGAAGAAGTAGAGAGAGAAAGGAGAGAGGAGTGAGAGAGACAAAGAACCCAAAACACACACGATGAACCCATCAATGCTCATCGCACAACCTTCTACTCCACACCCCAAAATCCTCTTCTCTTCCTTCGTCAACCCCACCCCACTCCGTTTCAGTACCACCCACCGAACCTCCCTGGCCAAAAAACGCCATAACCATCGATACCGATGCAAAATCTCCACCGTCCGTTGCTCTTCGTCAGACCAACCTTTCAACTCCACCAAGCCCATTGCCGCCGATGTCTTTGGAGGCAAGAAAGAACTCTCTGGTATCCAGTCCCTCGTTGATACCATGTCACCGCCTATCAGATTAGCTAGTTCAGCTTTAATCTTTGCCGGCGCCGTTGCGGCTGGATATGGACTAGGGTTTAGGTTTGGTGGGTCCCGGAATGCGGGATTGGGCGGGGCTGTCGCACTGGGTGCTGCCGGGGCTGGTGCTGCTTATGCCTTGAATTCTTGTGTTCCGGAGGTTGCTGCAGTGAATTTGCACAATTATGTAGTGGGTTGTGATGATCCGGGGGCATTACAGAAGGAAGATATAGAGGCTATTGCGAATAAGTTAGTTTGCTACTCATCCACACATAAATAAATTTTGTGTTTGTTGCGGTCTACATGAATATATACTTGGGCTGGATTTTTTTTTATTTATCATGTTGTTTTAATTTCAATTTCTTGCAGATACGGTGTTAGCAAACAGGATGAGGCATTCAATGCGGAGCTTTGTGATATATATTGCCGGTGAGTAAAAAATGAATGATTATTGGAGAAAAAATCAGGTATTAGTGTCCATTTTTTTAGCACATTCTATTTTCTCGAATAATATTAATTTTTTTTATAAGGGCTGCTATTTATGTTCAACATGGGATATATTGATTAATTTTGACTGGATTTTGGTGAATTTGTGGAAATGAAGGAACTCATAGATGAACACAACCCAATTTAACAACTAGGAAAGCCGACTGGCTAGACAATTCTGAATAGATTGCCCACTTCAATAAATTCATGATTTGTCTTAATTTCAGTTCAATTGGTCCTTAAACTTTGTCTTGCAAGAGCAATTAGAGTGCATAAGAAGCATTAATTTACATTGAAAAGTTGGTTGCATGATTTTTTGGGTTTTTTTTCTTCTTGAAATGTTGTTCTTCAGGTATGTTTCTGCTATTCTTCCTCCTGGGAGTGAAGATCTTAAAGGTGATGAAGTGGAAACTATTATCAAATTCAAGAATGGATTGGGCATTGATGACCCAGATGCAGCTGCAATGCATATGGAGGTATACTGAAATTGGTTATTTGATTTCATGCTGAACATATAGAATGCTTATTGCTGTATGTGACAAGGAGATCAGATTTTATTTTCCTCAAATTCTTCCTTTCTTGGCTTTTCTCAGATTGGTAGGCGACTTTTCAGGCAGAGACTTGAAACTGGTGACCGTGACGGGGATGTAGAGCAGCGCCGGGTATTGTAATCTTGATTTGTTGCTTCTCTTTATCATTTTATAACTACATTCATCATTAATTTTTCAAATGGAGATATGGAGCTTGACCATTGTCAAGTGTCTCCAGTGCAGGCATTTCAGAAGCTCATATATGTTTCAACTCTCGTCTTTGGAGATGCATCAACTTTCCTTTTACCCTGGAAGCGTGTGTTCAAGGTTACTGATTCCCAGGTATTCTTATGCCAACTTTCTTTTCAAGTTCCTGGGAACTATAACTGTTCCCTTCTTTGACAGAAAAAATATTTTTTGAAGCAGATAGGAATGCTGCTACACTAATTGTGATCCACCCCTTGTTCATTTTAAAATCAATATGGAACAGAGTTAATTGGTTTACATGTATAGATTGATGTCTTTTTTTTTTTTTTGGGGGAGTTTCGTTATGCTATTGTGTTTCACTTGTTGATATCAATTTTTTTTTCTTCATTAGGTTGAAGTTGCCATTCGTGACAATGCACAGCGGTTGTATGCCTTCAAGCTAAAATCAGTGGGAAGAGGTATATATATTATGCTTTGGTTCCTTGAGCAGTCTAGATGTCTTAAATACTGACAAACAGTAGTTGGTCTTCCATGTGGTATTATTTATTCTGCTTGCATGATTGGACCTTTATTTTAAAGGCACAATTCAAATTTACTCCTCAAGCTGTCCACCGGGATTTTTTTTTTTTGGTATTCATTTCTTCTTATTCTTCTGCCGGACTGAGGTGTGCTTTGGCATGCTAAATTGTTGAATACTGCCTAGATGGCTTGGATAATATGCATTTGTGTTTTTTGCATTTTCCCCTCAATCTTTTCAAGGTGAAACTCAATCAGATATAATGTCTTCATTCTGCTATTTCAACTCTGTTAGGCTTTAGTGGAGTTATCACCAGTATAATTGGATCATTAAATACATCAAGGAATGATCTCTTCAGTGTCTATTTCTTTATAGGTTGTTTTTGTCTTTATGTCGTTCATGACTTCATGTGCTACTGGTTTTGAAGTTATAACAATCCTTTAATTTCGCTTTTATATCTGAGTCAATGAACAACTTGCACTAGTCTTGCAACTTAAATGCTGAAAAAATTTATATATTGACCAGATGTTGATATTGACCAGCTGGTTGGCCTGAGACAAGCACAAGTTTTATATCGACTTTCTGATGAGGTACCACCTTTAAAATGTATTGTTTTAATAAATCTTGTAACACTTACTCCCTCAAAAGGGGAAAACCTTAGCCTTATTGATTATTTATAGCCATTTCTTCGTGTGGTGGTTTTTGTTTCTTGCAGCTTGCTGAGGGCATGTTTAGGGAGCATACAAGAAGGCTTGTTGAGGAAAACATATCAACAGCTCTTTATGTGTTGAAGTCCAGGACAAGGGCAGCGTATGATCCTGACTACCTGATTATGAAGAATCATAAACAAGCTTAAAAATTTGAAAATAATCCTGTGATTTTGTGGGTGGGTGGTTGGGGCTATTTCAATATTTTTTACAGACATCAGTCACATGACATCTACCTTTTATTTAAAAAAACATGCGTGATTTTGCTGATACTTCTTATTTGACATCATTGATTGTCGAATGACTCTTTTGACCCCTTATGTGGTGGAGTCATGTAAAAAATAATGGCCAACGATGATGATCATAATAACAAGAATAATAGTGAAAAAACAATACTATTTTGATCTCTTTAGCTTTTCTGCCAGCCTAAAATAATTTTTTGTATCCAGCAAGGAAGCCACGCATGTCGTTGTAGAGCTTGATAAGATACTGGCATTCAATAATTTGCTAATCTCACTTGGGAATCATCCTGATGCCAGTCGTTTTGCTCGTGGGGTTGGGCCAGTTTCCTTATTTGGTAGGGATGCCATATGATAGTTAGCTTTCCTTTTTCTCACAGATCTTAGTTGTTTTACTGTTTAAGCCCCTTGAAATGCTAGCTGGACTTGGTGTGTACTTTTTGCTTAGGTGGTGAGTATGATACTGACCGAAAGATCGACGATTTGAAGCTTTTATATAGAGTATATGTTACGAACTCACTCTCAAGTGGCCGAATGGAAGACAACAAGGTGCTGGAACTTTCTTTTTCGTTATCAGTCTTGTGCGTGTTTGTATATTGTAGTTCAAGTGTTATTTTCCATGACCTGCCTTTGACTATATATGCCAATTGTGAACAAATGATATTTATTTTATAAGCTTTTTTAGTCTCACAACTTTGCCCATTGTGCTTGACTGTACACTTAAGTTTAGGTGCTTTTTCTCCTGTGTTGCACCACAGGAGAGTTTTTGAAACTTGTACTCATGTACTTGGTAATTCTTACCAACATACAAAGATACTTGTGATTTTTTTTTATTTTTTTTGGTTTTGTGGTGCAGTCAGAGTTGTGTCATGAGAATGCATCTATTTTGTTGTTGTCCAATTTGCCTTCGCTTAATGTCACACACTTTCTGTGCTGCTATTTTTTAACCTTTCTTTCTCTTTGTAGCTTGCTGCATTGAACCAGTTGAGGAATATATTTGGTTTAGGTAAACGTGAGGCAGAGTCTATCACAGGGGAAGTGACCGCAAAAGTATATCGTAAACGACTTGCTCAGGCTGTATCTAGTGGTGATCTAGAAGCTGCTAATAGCAAAGCAACTTTTCTTCAAGACATGTGTGAGGAGTTGCACTTCGATCCGGAAAGGGCCATTATGATCCATGAAGGTAAGATATTGTCATATTTCTGTTGTGCATCGGTAGTGCTACTGTGTTGTCAATGCATGGGCTAGTATGGATCTTATTCTCTTATTTGGGCTATGTTATCATGTTTCTGAAAATCTGTCTTGTACATGTAATTTTTAATTCAGGTGATAATCTACTTTTTTTTGTCGGAACTTGTTCCACATCAATTTTGAATTGGACTTTATAACCTGATATCAGAGTTAGGGTGGGCCAGTGTTTTGAAAAGCTCGCCTAGGCGAGAAGCGAGGCGAGGCGAGCTTATCTCGCCTGGAGGACCCCAGGCGAAGCGAACGTGAGCGAAGTAAGAAAAAAGCGAGAAAAAGCGAAAAAAGCGAAAAAGCGAACGCTTTATTATATAAGAGGCGATTTTGCTTCCCTTTTTTTTTTTTTTTTTGATTACAAGTTCGTAGTCTCTTTTATTTTTTAATCACTAATGCCTTTTTTTTAGACTATCGCTGGTCTATTTTTTTTTTTCTAATAAACAATGTTTCGAACAAAACACATTCATTTTTTTTCCTCGTGTTGCTGAATTCATTTAGAATATTTGTGGGATGTGGGAGTCAGGCGACTGCATGACAAAATTATGATAAAGAAAGGAAGCAGGAGTATCAGAAATGGGGGTAAATAATAGAGTCTTCTACAAAGAAGTGTCTCTGATATGTCTTGGTTATACTTTTTCCTTTTCTTATATATATACAAATGGTACCAAAAAGTGGTCTATGCTTATACCATGTTTAATTATTTTAGTATATGTGAAATGTGCCTCTGTTCTACTTTTTTTATTCAGTACATAATTACATATGAAATTATTTACAATTAATTCTGCTCCTGTCATGATCATTGTGATTCTGTTTTTTTTTTTTAACTCATTCTGCTTCTATTTTTTTTTGTTGATTCTGTTGCTGCTTCGGTTTTGTTGTCCTGTGCTGCTTCTGTTTTTTTTATCCTCATTCTGCTTCTTTTTTTTTTGTTACTGATTCTGCTGCTGTTCTGATTCTGCTTCTTTTGTTGTCCTACCCTGTCAATATAAAAATGTATACAATTGTTAGTATTTGTTTGAATTTAAATGTTTAAGTTATGACTGTTATTAAGATTTGAGATATTATTAGTGTTTATTTTAATTTAAATGTTTATGGTTTTACTTGCATTTAAATATTTAGTATATATAAAATTAGAACTTAGATTGTTTAGAAGTAATTAAACTAAAATATATATATTTTTTTAACTGTTCGCTTTGCTTCGATAAAGCGTGTCGCTTCGCTTCTCGCTTCTCGCCTAGGCGTTAGGAGCCTTGGTCGCTTCGGTTCGCTTTACGCCTTAAATAACACTG